AAACTTCGTACGACCACACGAGCTATAGGACTTACACCGACCAGCTACGATCCTGAATTTGAATTCAGTCAAGACCTTCTGACGGCGAAACATGTCGACGATATTAACATGACAGGTCTAGAGAAAAATATAGACGACTATGTACAACGCGTCGAAAAGGTGTTTGGTAAATGCAAGCTCAACAAGCACACATATACGAACTGCGCCGTTCGCTACACTAAGAATGATCAAGGAGATGTGATCATGGACCAGGACGAGCATATCAAACAACTACGTCCTATCACACACCCAGAACTTACAGGAGCGGCGGCCGATGCCAAAGCCACGAAACTCATTACCGACATGTTCGTCAGCCTGCGAGGAGCCCTCGCCTATGCCCTTCTTACCCAAATCTGGCTCATGGTATACGTGGTCTCTCTTCAGAAAATTCAAGAGCCCACCAATCTGCAAGTCAGACGTTTGAATGCTGTGACGCGAAAGCTGATCAGCAGCCCGAAACGTATCACCTCCCCTCGGATGAAGCCGACGAATGAAGTTGACATCCATAGCGATTCGGGGTATCGGAAGCTTACCGGGGAGGAGGATGACGAGACCAAGGGCTACGGCATACGCGGGGCCAACGTACTACGGCGAGGAAACTCGCCTCAAGGCAAGTCCGTCGTTCACCTCTGTGACGGACTATGCAAATCACACCGATTACAGGTGAGGTCCAGTTATGCTGCGGAGGCACTTGCAGCCGCACATAACCTTGATGAGTGTTACCCTACGCTCATTACTCTCCACGAGCTTAAGGCAGGAGCTTTGACTCCACGACAACTACGAGACATGCGTGAAGTTGGAGGCCTAGCTATCAAAGTCACTCTTACCATAGACGCCGAGTCCGTCTACAAGTCTTTATCAAGCAGGGATCTCAAAATACCTACAGAACGGACTCTGCTTGGACATATCAGCTGGATACGTGAGCTCATGGATATAGGTATAGTACATAATGTGCAATGGTGTGATACTAGGGATATGACCGCAGATGGGCATACAAAGGGAAGCATCGATCGGGAGCTGCTTCTGGAAGTGATGTCAGGCACTCAGTCATTTAAGTATGACGTGAAGCAATTTGTTCCCTTTCGGGGTCCCGAGGACAGAGACAAACCTAAGTCTAATCAATTTTAGTCTGTCCTTGTTGCCCTCGCGGTCCAATTTGCCAGCACGGGCGCCTACTATAAAGGCGCCCCTCTAGTTGCTCGGAAACGAGCCTTATATTTCACGCCTGGCAACGAGCCGGCTTCGTACAACTCAGGCTCTTTGCCTTAATACAAATTTGTTTGGTGAGGTATGGCCTGTTTGGCGTACCTCTAACTGAGCCGATAGCCCTTCATTGTTTGAAGGGGCTGTCTTGTATTTGCGTGAAATGCTTTGCGAGGAAACTCGCCTTGCAGTCTGGTGTTAGGCCAGACTGTACGCACTGTTTTCCTTTTTGCAAACAGTCGTGCGCGCGACCTTTGCGTGCGACTATGCTATCCGTCTCCTCCCCTCCCGACTTTAAGGGTAGGTCTTTGGGAGATGTTATAGTATCGGGAGCATAGCTCGCGCGCGCCGTTGCCTTTGGCCCAAGGCACGCGCGCCCTATTTGCCCGGACACTGCGAGTGTTCGCTACGTGCTGGAAAGATCATTACATCGATCTTATCCTATCTTATCCGTCCACCCCTCATACTGTACTATCACAGCAGAACGATGGACGCTATTTGCCATCCGATGTCTATCATGGAATCGGATGCTATTTGAGTTACCAGGCTCACTTTCGACTCGCATGGCCAGAGAGCGTGGTGGGCGGCCGTGGAGAACCACGGAGGCAAGGGTGGCGGGAGGGCGGTAGCCAGCCGCTGGAGCTGGCGGGGGGCGCAGTGGGACACCACGAACGGCGCACCGCGGCGCACCGAGGAGAAGGCACAGCACCGAGCCGTGCGGAGGCAGGAGCAGCGGCCAGAAGGCTGGCAGTGACAGGGGAGCTGCGGCGTGACCGCCCGAGGCCTGGGGGCCGGGAGAGGTGGGGCGGGAGGCGGCGGGCGAAACGTCCCAAGCACCAGCGGGCGGCGGGGCGGCACCGCAACGCAGGAAGGAGGAAGCGCGGGCGGGGCAGCGGGTAGAGGCAACGCAGCCAGATGGCTGGCAAGAGGGGAGTGGCGGCGACCGCCCACGGCCACACACACACACACACACACACACACAAACACACACACACACACACACACGCCTTCAAGGAGGGAGGGTGATTTTCTGACGCCCCCCCCCCCTCCCTTTGAAACGGCGGGGTGTGGGTTTCGGACCTCCCCCTTTGCGCCAGAGAGGGGGGCAGGGATTTCGGACCCCCCCCCCCACTCCCCCCTTTTGCGCCGGAGAGGGTTCAGGGGGGAACCTCTGTGTGTTAGGCCAGAAGATCGTGAGCGGCACAGATTTCCATCGTGAGTTGTTTAGATCGGCGGCATGCAGACAAGTAAAGTGTTCGCATATGATCGTGCAGGTTGACGGTTTGAGAAGGCAATGTTGGAATCAGCACATGTGCACCACATAGTGTTTTGTACGTGTGCAGAGAGGATTGTGAGCGGCACTGATCTCCATCGCGATAGGTTTCGATCGGGTGCGCGCAGAAAGGCGAGTTATTCGCATAGGATCGTGAAGGTTGAAGGTTTGAGAAGGCGGTGTTGTCACCAGCAGACCTGCACCGCATGGTGTTTTTTTGGATAGAGGATCGCGAGCGTCACAGATTTCCATCGTGAGAGGTTGAGATGGGGGGGTGCAGAACGACGACGACGACGGCTGCGTCGACGATGACGACGACGACAAGAGAGAGAGTTGACGTGCGTTTGTTTGACATTGCCGGACATGATATATGTTATATCGGCAAACTTGGTGATTTGACTGGTTGCGGCGTTGCTTGATATCGTTCGATCCTGACTGTGCGCGCAGCTTCATTAGAATTGCAACCTGGCTTCCGCCAATCGCCGCCGTGTTTTGGGGAAATGTTATTTTGGGTCTGACATGAGCGTCCTAGGCCATTCTGGGCCGTTTGGGGGCCACCAGTGGCCGTTTCGGTGTCATCACAGGACGTATTGGGTTTACCGACGTCGTCGCGTGGCCGTTGTCCAAAACGACGACGATCACGACCACAACCACGGCGACGGCGACGACGAACGACGACGTCGACGCGTTACCACCCTCCCCCCATGATGCGATCGTCGCGTCATGGACGTCCAAGCCGTCGACGGCCACGACGACGTACCCCCCCACCACCACCACCACAGATGATGTCGATGATGGTGATGATGATGATGGTGGTGGTGATGATGATGATGATCATGATGATGACGATGATGCTGATGCTGATGATGCTGATGATGCTGATGATGATGATGATGATGATGATGATGATGATGATGATGATGATGATGATGATGATGATGATGACGACGACGCGGATGATGGCGAAGCAGATCATGCACTGAATTGAGATAATTATGTTCGGGTCGCAGCTGGGGGACACGCCAAGTGGGGACAGGCCCGCGGCCCACGGCGGAGGGTCCGCGGAGCGACCCCCCCCCAGAAGCAAAAACGGGGGTCCAGCGGAGTGACGTCTTGCGCAGATTCAGACTGGACCCCGCCATCCCTTGGGGGCTGCGAACTTCGAACGTGTCGACACGTTCGGGGGTTGCCAGGGGTCCAGCGGACTGACGCCTTACGCAGGCGTAGATCAGACCTCGCCATCCTTGGAGGCTGCGAACAGCGAAATTGCCGCCACCTTCCAGGGCTGCTAGGGGGCCCAGCGGAGTGACGACTTACGCTGACATCACTTAACATCGCCTTTTCCCCGGGGGACACCCAGCCGAGACCTCGCAGCTCCTTGGGGGACATCGAACTGCACAATTGTCACCACTTTCGTGGACTCTTGGAAATCACGGCGTAATAGGGGAGTACGCGCGCCACCCAAGACCTCGCACTTTTTGGGGGAGATTGCGCAACTGTCGTCACTTTCATGGGCTCCTGGGGGGCACGGCGAAGTAGGAGAGTACGCGCGCCACCCGAGACCTCGCACTTCTCGGGGGGACTGCGCAATTGTCGCCAGTCCCGTGGACTCCTGGGAGGCTCGGCGGAGTCGAGGAGTACGCACACCCAGCCGAGACTACAGCTTAAGCCTTACAGCTTGGGGTTTCGGGTTCAGGGCTTGGGGTTTGAAGCTTGGGTTTCGGGTTTACGGCTTAGAGCCTAAGGGCTTAAGATTCATGTGTTACGGTTTAGGGTTTAAGGTTTAGGGCCTATGAGTTAGGGCTTAAGGATTAGGGGGGTGATCTTACGGACCAGGGTCAGGGTGTGAAGGCTGGGGTGTCAGGCTCAGGGTGTTAGGGTTAGGGTGCTAGGCTTAGAGTATTTGGCTTAGGGTGTTACGGTTAGGATGTTAGGCTCCAGGTGTTGGGGTTAGGGTGTTAAGGTAAGGGTGTTAGGGTTAGGGTGTTGGGGTTGGGTTCAGGTGTTCGAGTTGGGGCGGTACGGGTTCGGGTTAGAATGTTGGGGTTAAGGCTTAGGGCGGCAGGGTTTGGGTTAGGGTGTTAGGGTTAATTAGTGTGTCAAGGTGAGGGCTTTACAGCATTATGGTTAGGCTTTTCGGGTTATGGTGTCAGGATTGGGGTGTCTGGGTTAGGGTGTTAGGGTTAGAGTGTAAGGGTCAGCTTTAGAACGTTCGGGTTAGGGGGTAGGGGCCCGGAACTAGGGGGGCGGCGTGGCCAAAGGGGAGAAGGGGGGGGGCGGGGGGGGGCGTTTTTCGAGCCCCCCCCTTTTGAAAGGGGGGAGGGGGGTGGGAGGGTCAGGAGGACGGATCGGGAAAAGGAGGGGTCCTGGAACGACGGACCGGGGAAAGGCGGGGAGAGGGGGGGTCGCGGACGAAAATGGGACGGATTTCAACCATTCTCCTTTTTATCAATTACACGTAAGAGTGACCTTTCGCCAGTGTGAACTTTGGTGCGGACCCAGTGGAGTCCCCCGATTGCAGAACGCGACGCGGTAGCAGCGGCTTGCGCGCCCAAGTTTGGCCCCCGCGCGGCCCCCAAAAAGCAACGCACACCCATGCCCGTAGCCAAATTTATTACGAACTGTGGAGTACCCCCGACCCCCGACCGAGGAGACGATCGACCGCGTGCAACCAGACGTCGTGCTGTGCGCGTCCTTCGGCGGTGCGCCCGCCGCGGCCGGCAGCTAGCCAGTGCGCGTGCGCGAAGGGCCCGCGCGGCCGCGGCCCTTTTGGATCACGGGACCCCAAGGCTCCTTTACACGGCACGACGACCTCTTTCCTCCTTCGTCTTCCTCGTCGTCCTCCTCCTCCTCCTCCTCCGCCTCCTCCTCCTCGCCTCCTCCTCCTCCTCCTCCGACTTCTCCTCCTCCGACTCCGACTCCTACTACTCATACTCCTCCTCCTCCTCCTCCTCCTCCTCCTCCTCCTTCCTCCTCCTCCTCCTCCTCCTAATCCTCCTCCCCCTCCTCCTCTCCTCATCTTCCTCCTCCTCGTCCTCCTCCTCCTTGTCCTCCTCCTCCTCCTCCTCCTCCTCCTCCTCCTCCCCCTCCTCCTCCTCCTCCTCCTCCTCCTCCACCTCCTCCTCCTCCTCCTCTCCTCCTCGTCCTCCTCCTCCTCCTCCTCCTCTCCTCCCTCCTCCTCCCCCTCCTCCTATCTCTCCCCCTCCTCCTCCTACTTCTCCTCCTCTCCTCCTCATCATCATCCTCCTCCTCCTCCTCCTCCTCCTCCCTCCTCCTCCTCCTCCTCCTCCTCCTCTTCCTCCTCTTCCTTCTCATCCTCCTCGTCCTCCCGCCTCCGCATCTGACTCCGCCTCCTCCTCCACATCCCTTCCTCCTCCTCTTGCTCTCCTCCTCCTCCTCCTCCTGCTCCTCCTCGTCCTCCTCCTCCTCCTCTTCCTCCTCCTCCTTCTCCCCCTCATCCTCTACATCCTCCTGCTCCTCCTCCTCCTCCTCCTCCTCCTCCTCCTCCTCCTCCTCATCCTCCTCCTCGTCCTCCTCCTCATCATCATCATCTTCTTCCTCCTCCTCCTTCCCGGAGGCGCTCCGAGGCCGTCTCCGGGTCACCCGGAGGCGCTCCGCAGCCGCCTCCAGGTGACCCGGAGACGGTCCAGACCCACCTCCGGGTGACCCGGAGGCGCTCCGAAGCCGCCTCCGGGACCGCCAGGCCGAGGCCTCCGGGTCAGAGCCGCCTCCGCCCCCCCCCCCTCGCCAGGCCGAGACCTCCGGGTCAGAGCCGCCTCCGCCACCCTCTGCTAGGCCGAGACCTCCGGGTCAGAGCCGCCTCCGCCCCCCCCCCCCTCGCCAGGCCGAGACCTCCGGGTCAGGGCCGCCTCCGTCCTCCCCTTGCCAGGCCGAGGCCTCCGGGTCAGAGCCGCATCCGCCCTCTCCACCCCCGCCAGGCCGAGACCCCCGGGTTTGAGCCGCCTCTGCTTCCCCCCCCTTGCCTGGCCGAGACCGACCTCCGGGTCAGCGCCGCCTCCTCCCGCCCCCACCAGGCCGAGACCCCCGGGTCAGAGCCGCTGCTCGCAGTCACCCCTATCGCCGTGACCTCTGGGTCCGAACTGCATCCGCACCTTCGCCGTTAAGGCTCAGGATTCTTTGGGAGTGAAGGGGATCTTGGCCTAAGGAACCTCCCGCTGATGGCGAGCCGCAGCCGCAGCCAATCCATCCCGCGACAGCCAGGGCCGCGCGGGGGCAGGCGCGCCCGCCGTGGCGAGCGCTCCCGGTCTCGGGATCGGACTCCTCGCTCCCCGCCCCGGGCGGCGGGCGGCGTGCACCGCGCCAGCACGATCTACCAGCGCGACAACAACCGGGGCATCAGCACGCGGGCGAAGTCGGCGCCGCCGACGGCACCCCGCACGGAGGTGTCCCCGTTCGAGCGCCCGGCGGCCGCAGGCCTGCCGCCCAACCACGGTGTGCTCCCGTGGGAGGTTGGTATGTGGCTCGCCCGGGCGGGGTTGTCGGTGGCGCCCGCGGCCATGCACCCACCGCCGCCTCTCAGCGGGCCTCCGAAAGCGCCTTCGCCTGCTGCTCCTCGGGGGTACCGAACGCCTTGGTGCCCGCGGGCCTAACCGTACCGTTCGTGCCGCAGCCCCAGCCGCTCGCTGCGGGCGTGACGCCCCACCCGACGAAGGACGAGAATGGCATGGTCTTGGGCGCGCCGCCGCTGCTACGCCCGCAGCCGCTCCACTCGCCAGCCCCCTTGCAGGGGCTCGCCCCGCCACGCGACGTCAGCGTTGGCGGTGCACCGTTCGTGCCGCCGCCACGCGACGCGGCGGCAGCGATTGCGGAGAAGGGCGCGAGGGAGATGGCCTTGGCACTCGCCCTTGCTTTCCCCGCTGGCGCACCGCCGCCGCTCAGCGGGCCGCCGAAAGCGCCCGCGCCAGCCGCTCCAGTTCCGGGGGGGGTACCGTACGCCAGTGTGCCCGCGGGCCCAACCGTACCGTTCGTGCCACCGCAGCCCCAGCCGCACGCCGCGGGCGTGCCGCCCAACCCAGCGAAGGACGCGGGTAGCATGGACGCACGGGCTATGCCTCCTGCATCGTGGGAGGGGCCGCGCGGGGCCGTGCAGGACCCGCCGGCCGCGGCCGCGGCAGCGGTGGCTTGGCCGGGCGGGCCGGGGAAGAGCCCCCCTGGGGCCGCGGGCGGGCCGGGGACGGCGATGGCCGCAGCGCCCGGTGCCTTCCGGTGCGCTTGCGGTCTAGACCTCGCGGCATGCGGGGCGTGCGGCCGCGGCTGGGCGCAGGTGCAGGCAGCGACGAAAGCCGAGGAGGAGGAGGACGTGGTGGCGAACCTGGTGTCCGGCCTCCGCAATGTGGCCGACACGATCGACCACGTAGGCATGTCACCGGCGGCGGCGGTGGAGGAGGTCCTCAAGGTAGTCAAACAGGCGACGGCGAGGGCCCAGGCGGGTGCCCAGCCCGCAGGGCCACCGCCAGCGGGCCCAGGGGTGGCAGCGCCGACACCCCAATTCAACACGAAGGACGCGGCCGCCTTGACCACCGCGGTGGAGGACTTCCGGCGGCGCCTGACCTCCTGCACAGTGCCAGGGGGGGGGGATCAGGTGGCGCTCCGCAGCTTCACGTGTCGTTCGAGCGGCCTGGGGCGGACCCCATGGACGTGGCGCGGCGCATTCAAGCATTTCATGGGGCAGCGGGGCCGCAGGTCCCAGTGCAGGTCTTGGTGGAGGCGGAGAACCGGGCGTGGAAGAAGCCCCCAGGCACGACGTCCTGGTGGGCGGAGAAGGGCGGTGACGCTCGCACGAACGTGCACCGCTTCCGGGTGCCCGCGCGCCCGTCTTACGGCAGGCCCTCGGCGGTGTCGATCCAGCACAATACAGCCTCGCGTACCGTGGTGGCAGTGGGGGTCAAGCAAAACTTCTTGGACTTCCTCGTCCAGTGGGTGGGGGCCTTCGGCCCGGTGGCGGGCGTGACCGCCGGCCAGCAGAACGTGGCCCCGACGTCAGTCATGCAATACCTGCAGGCCGCCGCGGCACCGGGCGCCGCGTGGTAGGGCGCCGCGCCGCCGACCGGATGGGCGCTTCGAATGGCGGTTGGCCACCTGGGCGTGGGACTGCGGGCGAGGCGTGAATTCGAAGACTCCTATTAGCATTTATCCTTTACACGGCAGCTGGGAGCCGCCAGGCGCCACGACGGCCCGCCAGGGTCGAATGGGCGGGTGCGCGCCGCGGTCCTCAAAAAGAGTGCGCCCCACCCCCCCTTCCTCCTCCTCGTCCTCCCCTCCTCATCCCCCTCCTCCTCCTCCTCCTCGTCGCCGCCCCCTTTCTCCTCCTCCCCCCGCCTCCCTGCCTCTCCCTTTTCCGGGTTCCCTATTCTTTCAGGGACCCCGCCTCAGGAGTCGTCAGACGGCGTGAGCCCCAGGATGCGCCGTGGCGAAGCCCACCCAGCCCCGCGTCAGGGCTTCAGCTGGCAACCACGGCGAAGTGCAGCTGTCGGGGGGGTTGTTCGTCGGGTTTCACTGCGAACGCGGCTCCTCCGTGTTCGGGGCCACGGCCCGCCTCGCCGAGAGCGTTCCGGGGCTGCCCTTGGTTGTCCCTCGTGGGGGGCACGTTTTGCCCCCCGTGTTTCGGCCACGTTCGCAGGTCCCTCCTTGGTCAGTTCTGGCGCCCTTCCGCGGCTCGCACAGGGGGTAACAGTCTGTCCCTCGATGGTCAGACCCGGCACCCTTAATTGGAGTCGAAACTGTGTACATTTGGGGCTCGTCGTCGGCAGCAGGCGCCACGGTTGACATACATGGTTTACTTGGGACATTGACATACGTGCCGCTGGCCCCCAGCTCCCCCCTCCCGCTCCTCCCCCCCCCTCCCCCCCCGGCCCCCTTCCCTGCCCCCCTCCCCCCCTCCTCGCGGAGGGGTGTGCGGGGGGTGTACGCGGTGCCACCCCTGAGGCGCAACGGTCTGGAAGCCCGCGCTTCCCGAATCCAGTGTTGCCGCTCTGCCAGGTCTTGTTTGCGAGCCCCCTCAGGGTCACATGGTTGCGGACTCACGCCCTGGCCAGTGGGGAATCGCAGATAGAGTGGTCGGCGGGCCGCACCCCCTAATTTGAATGTACCAGCCTATCCGCACCGGAGGGCCGCTCCATCCCCCCCACGGGGATCGCACGTTTCCCATTTCAGGTTTCCCAGTCAGGGCTTATTGATGGTTTGCCGGGCACCTTCGTCATCCGCGCCGTGGTGCGCAGACGCATTCTTGAACATCTCATCAGCCGCGCCCCGCCAGTGCTTTCCAGGGCCCTTTCCCTGGCTCGCCTGCTTCCTGTTCCCCCCCTACCCGCTCGCCCGATGGCTCGTGAGGAGACGCCCCTCCCGCGGCGCGCGCCATGGCGGGCGCGTGGGATGCAGGCGGCGGGGCGAACCCCCCTGATACGGCCACGCTGTGTAGTTGGGCAACCCGTGTGGAGGCAGGTCGCGCGTCAGCTGAAATCCGAGAGCTGGCCGAGAGGGTGCTCCCAGACGGCAGCGGCCGTGCTGGAGCTTGGAGAGCGATCTGCTGTAGGCGGGACGCGCGAGCCCTCCTCGGAGCGCAACCCCCGCACGGCCTCTCTGGCGCACCCCCAGAATTGGAAGCCTTCCGGATATTTGATGCGGGGGCGCGTGAAGCATGCCTTCGAGTGGAGGCCCGGATGGCTTGGCAGGCGAGGGACGT